ACTTGAATTTTCCGGCATGGAGTGTACAAGGTTCGAGTTATGTTACAAATTAGCCTCGTGTTTTGTTTGTAAATTAGGTGTACAAATTGTAAGGGTTTTGTATACTCCAAAATTATAAATAAACACTACTTGAACTTGTCTCTTATGTCTAATTATTGCGGTTGTCGTTAGCAAATTAAATTTTGTTATTATAATTATGAAATTACACAAAATTTATTAGTTAATTGAATGTAAAAAAAATTTATGGAAAATAGGGATCAAAATTTGGTGTCTACAGACATATTAGTGGATTCCTTTGACATGAGTGGAACATTAATTCTATTCAATGATTGATTTAACTGTGGTACATTCAAACGTCTTCCCGTAACTGGAGATTATAAAGGATGCATCCTGGTTACTTCAAAAGTTGAATAGGAGCTTTGTTGCTACAAGATTGGATCGAGTCTACCTATTAAATTAGGGAATGTGTCATGGCCGCTTGAAGAGGGAGAATTCAGAAAAAATATGTGGTCGCATTCAAATGCATTATATTACTCAGTAATCATTTATTTTTGTAATTTGAACTCAGATATCAAGAAACGATTTGTAGATTAATATGATCTCGACATGAGATGCAATTATATTATCAAATCGACACACATTGACTTAAGGAATTTGAATATTAATTGCACACTTGTCTCAGACAAGTGGGAGATTAAAGGATTTATGTCTTCATCATGTGCAATTACTAGATATATAAATGGATCAAATTATGGAGATAATTAAGTTCGTTCATTTGGGTCGTCGCTATATCATATCAAATTATGGAGGTATTAACGATCTTTGAGCTAGTAAAATAGGCTAATGTTCACTTGAACGGATCCTATAAGGTCACACAAAAGGCCTAGATCGAGCATGAGGCCCATGATGGGCCTCATTCCCTAGTACGGTCGGTCATATGGAGTGATATGGAGGGTTTTGGGCTTCATGACTTAGTCTAATTATAATAAGATTATAAATAGACTAAGTGCCTGGATTTTAGTTATGCAATTGATGATCAGTTTGATGAAACCCTAATCAGCAAACACGAGACCAAACCCCTCTCAAACTCTCTCTCTCTCTCACGACACTCTCTCTCCTCCTCGACGCCGGTTGTGGTGGTTCGTGGTGGTGGTGGTTCGTGGTGGTCGGTTAGTCCATTAAAGGTGGTGATCGCGGTTTTCCTCTTTCACTCGACCAATCGAATATTGGTGGATGGCTCGTTTGAATCTCGTGGACTAAATAGAGGAGCAATGCTTGGGGTTCTATTCTCTCCCTATTTGCCAGTCAATTAGCTTTGTAAAATTCACGATTCAAAGGTATGATTATGTGCCTTGTGTGTTATTCATGCGATCTTGGGATTAGGTGCTTTATGAATATAATTCACGTTTTCCACTTTATAGTACCTATAAACTCCTACGTACACCTCCTTGTGCAATTTACTTTTTGTACAAATCCACTATTCCTACTTTGTAATACTCCTTAGAGAGTAATATAGTGAGAGTCATATTGTAATATAGACCCTTAAAGGGATACTTGTACTATCCTATTTTCAAATAGTGGAATAAAAGTGCTCGTCGTTAAATATCGTGTGTGTATTTCTACTACTTGTCTTGCCTTTACATATCTCCTACTTATTTTATCAATCTCTACATCTTTAATTTGCTTTCGATGTGCACTCACCAACCCTAACAAGTGGTATCAGAGCCAAAGGTTGATTAGAGTGTTTACACATTAAAGATGTCTTTGGTCACGAAGTTCGAGAATGAGAAATTTGACGGCAAGATTAGTTTCAGCATTTGGAAAGTCCAGATGAAAGTCGTTCTAGTATAGAGCGGATTAAAGAAGGCTCTGTATGGAAAAGATAAAAAACCAGAGTCAATGACAAACGAGCAATGAGAAGAGTTGGACGAAAAAGCCCTCTCGGCAATCCAACTATGTTTAACTAAGGAGGTACTACGCGAGGTCATTTAAGAGGAGACAGCAGCCGGATTATGGTTGAAGTTGGAGTCCCTCTACTTGACTAAAAGCCTCACCAACAAACTCTGTCTTAAGCAAAGGCTCTATACAATCCGGATGGCCAAAGGTACTTCCATTAAAACTCATCTCGATGAATTTAATTCAATTATAATTGATCTTGAAAATTTAGATGTTAAAATTGAAGATGAGGATAAGGTCGTGTTATTAATTGTCTCCCTACCATTAAGAAAATTAAGCTTTATGGCAATAGTGATACTCTTTCTTTTGAGCATGTTAAATCTCACTTACTCTCAAAAGAAAAGTTTGACCTTGAAATTCATTCTAATTAAAATGACAAAGGTTTAAATATAACAGGGAGATCACACGGTAGTAAAAGTACCATTAAGAAGTTCAAATTTAATGGACACAATTTGGAAAATCTTGCAAGTTTTACAAGAAACTTGGGCACACAGTTGAAGAATGCTGGTTTGCAAATAAAAAGCTCGAAAAGAAAGAGCAAAAGGAAAAGCCGAAAGAGACGGCAGAAGCCGATTTTGGAGAAATAGAGTTCGATGATGAAGTTCTCCTAGCTACTTCGCCAAGAAGAAAAAAATACTGACTGGGTACTTGATTCGGGTTCTGGCAACCATATTTGTTCTCAAATCTCACTTTACCGACTATCAGCCGATGAAGAATAAAACTGTTACAATGGGTAACGGTTATCATTGCAAAGTTCGTATTGTTGCCTCCGTACGGACCAAGACACAAGATGGTGTGATCAGGACTTTGTCTAATGTTCATCATGCTCCTGAAGAAGAATATCATCTCTCTTGGAATTCTGGACTCAAAAGGATATAAGATTTCGGCTCAAGGTGGAGTAATCAAAGTCTCCAAAGGTGCTCAACAAATATTGAAGGCCATCAAACATAGAAATCTCTATGTATTACAAGGATCTTCAATTATGGCTTCATCATACTCAATCTCGACTCGGCAACAACGCCCTCAAAATAAGGTCCAAGTAAGTCACTTTCTTATTCTGAACCTAAGCTTCAATCGGGTTTAGCATGTGACATATTCACTTAATGTCGATCGGGTAACATACGACGAGCGTACATATAAAATTTGGTCCAAGGTGGAGATTGTTATGTATGACCCAAATTTTATATACCCATTATTTTGGTGGAGCATTGCGCATATTTTAGAGGCTTCCGGAATCTCTAGAATAATACCCCACTTGAATGTTCTAGAGCATTATTGACATTGGAAGCTATTAGCTAGAATATAATACATGGTTCGTGAATTTTCTAGAACGTTATGGATACAAGAATGATGGAGGAATTTCTAGAATATTCCGGTCATTTTTCCAAATTCCATATACACCTATAAATATAGGTCATGAGCATTCAATCATTGAATACAACACAACTCAAGAAGTCATACCATACACAAGCCTTCCTACATACTACACCTCCTTATACAATTTACTTTCTTTACAAATCCACTATTCCTACTTTGTAATACTTCTTAGAGAGTAATGTAGAGAGAGTCATATTGTAAATAAACCCTTAAAGGGATACTTGTACTCTCGTATTTTCAAATAGTGGAATAAAAGTGCTCGTCATTATATATCGTGTGTCTATTTCTACTACTTGTCTTGCCTTTACCTATCTCCTACTTATTTTATCAATCTCTAAATCTTTAATTTGCTTCTACTGTTCACTCACCAACCCTAATAACCGCAAAAATATTTGGCAACATAGAACCCTCATACATTAAAATATTGAGCAAAGATAACAGGAAATTATTCACACTAATAAACAAAACATTAACATGTTGCCGCAAATTAACACAGATTACTCAATGTCAATTATTCTGACATAGGAAATTATTCATACTGTTAAGCAAATCATTAGCATGTTGGTGCAAATTAATACAAATTGTTCAATGTCAATTACTCTGTAATAGAAATTCATGTTTTAAATCATAACCTTTATATATTTGAGCATAACCATGATATAATACAAAATGCATATATGTGTAGCGAGCTTTCCATCATTTCATGCTCTAAATAATATAGCAAAAATGCAAATGTTCTATATTTTAGGAGTTCTCATATATGGTTCTTATACAATAAGGTTTTCATATGAACATAAACATATACATGTGTAGGCCGGTTTCCATGTACTAAAATATGTTGTGATTGTTCTAAATTTGAGTTTTCATGACATTTATAATTAGGAAAACCTACTAGTATCATGGAAGCTTTTAGCAAGCATGGCTGGAAAAGAGAGTATCGCTAAAACCAAGCCACTACTTGCACCCTACAAGTGATAGACATTAACAGATTATAAGCTTATTGTAAAATCAATGAAGAAATATATAATTGTTATAAGCAACAATGGAAAGAATGAATAATACAAGAGAGAAATATTATAATTGTTATTGGTGACCTAAGATGATATTAGAATCAGCACAAATCATAGCAGTAAAACAGCTAACTACTTTGATTCTCTCTGAATGCAAGACATACTAGGGTCAAAACTCAAAAGCACTTAATGAATTCTATGTACCATCTAGTATATTAGATTTCTGAAGCATCTTACATTAAGGTTTAGCATGTTGTCTGTGGTTGATCATCAGAGATCAATTAGATTTCTGTGGTTGCAATTGAGATTAAGCATCATTGGTCAAGCACATTGATATTTTAGGAGTGCATACACCAATGGTTTATTTGCTGGTGCTTTCAAAAGGCATGGTGAATTCACT